GTGAGAAGATGTGAGTGGAGAGTCAGCCTTACAGGCAGGTGGGCCTGATCACAGCATCAGAACTGGGGCATGGGCGTGAGCCCAGGTGGGTGGTGAGTGACACACACGCAGCCTCAGGCTACCAGAAAGATCCGGCCAGGAGTTATGGACCCAAGCAAGGGAGGGGGGTGTTCCCCTTTTCTTTGTATAGGCTGCCTTTCAGGAGACCTCAGTGCCACCTCTAGCAGATTAAGCTTTATGGTCATTCGTTATGTGGTATGTGTCACCTCTATTCATTTAGGAGAGGAATCCATCAGTTTGGGTTGGCAGTTTGGGCAGATTCTGCTAGTTGCCAGTCTAACACCATCAGATATGCCCTTGACACTCAGAATAACGATGACTTGTCCTAGACTCTTTGGCCACACTACATGGTCATCTGACTGAGCTCTGTCTAATCAGTTGGGGTCTTCCAGCAAGGTGCCTAATGAGATCTGACTCACCCTTCTCTACCCCCTTTTCTGATGTCAGGAATACAGATGTGATGGTTGGAACCAGGGCTGATTTGTCCACTAGGCACAGCAGGCCGAGTACCTAGTATCCACAATACTTTTAGGAACTCAATAAAAGTTTGAATTCTTATTAAAATCAGAAAGAAAAAAACCTTTTAAATTAAAAGTGTTTTAACATAATGCTAACAAATCTGTCCTAATACCAATGTAGCTATAGAACATCATTTTCAATATTTCTTTAAGAACTCACTCATTATGACAAAAGTGCCTATAACAGGGGTTCCTTTCTATGTCACAGGGTCCACTTCATGCTTTGAATATAAACCTTGCTGTTTGACCACTGGTAACTAATTTTAAAATTGACATGTTGCCAGGCACGATGGCACATGCCCATAATCCAATGACAAGGAGGCTGAGGCAGGAGGACCACAAGTTTGAAGCCAGTCTCAGCAACTTAGTGAAAACTTGTCTCAAAAATGGCGGGGGGTGGGGGCGCATGCTGGGACATTACTTAATGGTAAAGTGCCCCTGGGTTCAAGCCCTAGTACCAATTTTTTTTTTTTAAATAAAATCGACATTTTTTTTTCTTTCCCTTTTCTCTTTCTTGCCCTCCCTAGACTTGGGGGAAACAAGATTAACGTTCTTCCTGTCCTGAGCTGAGTTTTCTGTCTTCTGGCTCGCTGACCACAGAAGTGAAGAGATCCAGACTTGGGAGCTGGTCCCACTGGATCTAAGGAATGGCTATGATCTCAAGGTTATGATTATGTCACGGATTATGACTCCGGAGAGACACAACTGGAGCTTAGTCTGTATATCACCACTTTAAAAGTCCTCTGCTCCTTCTGCAGTTAGAATCACAGCCTCGGAGACGAGAGCCCACTGTGTTCTTCTTTGCGAGCAAATGAATAAAACTTCCGTTTATTTTTTCTCATTATTGGATCAGCAATGGGGACAAGGACAAAGATTTCAATATCATGCCAGGGTCAGCAAAAATCAGAATGCAGCTCTGGTTAGAGCCACTTTTTGAGAAGGACAGGGAGGGATGAAGGTGCCCAGAGAGTGAGCGGGCAGCCACAGCACAGTAGCTCTTCCTCCTGTGTGTCCAACACTCACGTTTGGCCACTGTATTTGAGTTTCTGCTGCAGGTAGCTGTTTTCCATTCCTGACCAAGGCAGCCATTCTACCCTGACCAGCCTGTGTGGCCTCTGAGTGACTGAGTGCAGTGTATGACAGGCTATGGCAGCCAAGGAGCTTTCTCCAGGCCCTGTGCACATGCCCACGTCCCGCTTCCTGCCAGTGGGAGCTTTGTTCCATAGACTGGGTCATGGGATATTTACAAATTGTCTTCATATGTACCTCCAGTGTAGGCCTACTATCCCAAAGTGGATGTTGTATCATTGTACATTTGGACAATTCAATTGCAGCCAATGTTTTGGAATCTTCAGAAAATTTCCCCTCTTCAAAACCACCCACAACATCCACTGTCTATGGGTTTCTTAAGGAACTTCAGGAAATATTTCCCCATGAATATACCCAGCGTCTTCTCTTCCCCCTCTTCCCCTTCATGTACAGGCCAAGGCTGGGTTATCATTCTGCCCTGCACCCTCAGATCCCACTGGCACTCAGTTCACATGGAAAACTCCCAGTGTAACATGTGGTTTGTTTAAAGAGCATCAAATAACAAATCCCTTCCAGATCAACTCAGAAGGGGGAATGCTAGATCTTCTGACATTCATTCTTGCAGAGCACAGCTTGCTCTAGACTTGGTGACAGGTCCAAGTTCGGGCACCTAACAAGGAGGTCCCTGGAATCTCAGACTCACTGAACATTTCCGAGTTCTGGTTGAAATAGTCTTCCTTGGAGACGTTCTTCTAACCAGAACTTGTCCTCCTCTGCATTGCAATTTATCTCTGCAGATTGGAGAATCCGCAGGAGCACTAAAAATAACAGAGGCTCCCCCACCCCCAGTCCCCTCCTCTCTGCCGGTGCTTTCTCCCTGTGGCATCCCGGGTGCCACCGGGCCCAGCCAGTCCTGTCTTCATGGTCTGGTGTGGGTTTGTGCGGCACCGACTTCCTGCAGGTCAGAAGCAGCTGGAAAGATATCACCTCGTGTGTCAGGTGCAACATTTTGGCTCCAAGCCTGGAGCACAGCAAAGCAGGGAGAAAACTAGTCCAGGTGGCTCAGAGAAGAGAGGTGCCCTCGCCCACAGGAGGCCTGGACACCAACAGAGTCCATCGCAGGTGGAGATGGAGTGAGAAGAGCCCGCGCCAGGAAAGGGAACCGGCAGAGCTGGAGTTGCCCAAAGGCTAATCCGCGAGACCCAGCAGTCCGCCAGGGTGGCCCAGCGCGCAGAGGCCGGAGGCGGCCGCGCAGTGGGTGCACAGTGGGTGCGCAGCTGCGAAGCCCGCGCTCGCGCATGCGCCCCGACCCCGGTGCGCCCTGCGCCCTGCGCCCTGCGCCCTGCGCCCTGGCGACCGGGAAGCTCAGCGGCGGGTGCGCTCTTGCCGCGGAGCTGCCGCTCGGCCCGCGCTTCTGCCTTCCGACAGCCCATCCTCTCCTTCTCCGCGCCTCTTCCGCTTTCCTCCCGAGGCCTCTCAGTGCCATGATGCCGAAAAGGCCTCGTCCCGTGTCCTGGCGTGGCTGTTCCATCAGTTTTACTGACAGATATTGAAATCTTGCTCTTCTGATCTCCAGGGCGGTTGGTAGAAGTTACGGAAAGGTTCCCGCGATGTCGCTGCAGCTGGGACATAAACGGCCCCATCACACTTTACCCCCCAAGCATTGACTGCTCTGGGAGCTCCACCTGTAAGGTCTTAAAAAACATATAAGAAATAATGTTTTTAAGACTTTGCTGCTAAGAGGCTCAACAGCATTTGAAAACAAACTTTGTCCTTCTTTTGCATTTTTATTTTATTTTTTCCTTCTTAAAGGGGCGGATGCCTCTCTGAGTTTGGCGCAGCTGAATAATCTTTTCCTCTATCTTGAGGGGTCTTTGAATGCGTGGTTTCCACTATGGTCTCTCCCACTTGAGAATTGTGTGCATTCCTGTGGCAGCTGAACGCCTCCCCTGGGCTGGCGGTGGTGTGGCCTGCAGGGAGCCAGGCTGCCGGCAAGTGCCTCTCAGGTGGCTCACCCAGACCCTCTGGAGAGAAGCACCTCCGTCCCTTTTCAAAGTGCAAAGCAACGTGAAAAGCCCAACTGTGCCATGTTGAAATTCTCATGTCCACACAAAATTTGTATGCTGCAAACCTCACCCCCAGGTAATGGCGTTAGGAGAGAGGCCTTTGGGAGGTGGTGGGGTGTAGGGTGGAGCCCTCTCATGATAGAGGCCAGGAGAGACCCCTGGGCCTTCAGCCCTGCAGGCTGGAATTAGAGGACAGCTGTATATGAGCAAATAGGCCCTTGCCACATTCTCAATCCCTGGTGACTTGACCTTGGACTTCCAGCCTCCAGACAGTGGGGATAAGTTTCTGCTACTTGTAAACCACCCAGTTTCTGGCATTTGGTTTTAGCAGCCTGAGCAGATGGGACAACCAATAAAACAAGGAGAAGCTGCAGTCTTCTTGAGAACAAGGCCACGCATTTTCGACTGGAATACTAGATGACTTTTAAAAATACATTAGTTCTCTCCTTATTTCTGTTTTTGTGTGATTTCCATCGCTGGACTGATAATAATCACTTTCTCAGTTAACTCAGAAACAAGTTTCTGCTGCTCTTTCCCTTTGGTCTCTGTGAGTTCTTGGGGTAAAGGGTGAGGTCTGAGTGCATAGTGGATAGGAAAGAGAAACAGGCCCTGGGAGACCCAGGCAACTCCCAGCTGATACAGAGTGGCTTGTGACCTAGGGCAGCTTATTAGCCTCTTTGAGTCTCTGTTTTTTTCAATGCAAAATTGGGCCAGAGCCCACTGCCTTTGTGTGGTGAAGGTTCCATAGTGGACACTAACTGCCCACCTCAGAACCTGAGACAGAGTAGGTGCTCAACAGTTTTTAGCTGAATTCAACTGAGTTAAATGCATAATTTGCTTTATTTGGACATGGGCCATTACCAGTCAAATGCTTTTGACAACACCAAAATAAATATCAAAACTAAACATCTTTCCCTGGAAATAACACTTCATCTTACATTTTAGAAGTCTTCCTATTTCTATAACTCTAGTTTCATTTTTCCATAATCATATGTCTTTTGAAAAACATTTTATGAGTTGTCCCTGTAACCTAAATCTATCATCTGGAAAATGCAAGTAGAGGATGTTTTAGTTTTGAAAACAGGATTCACACAGTGAACCGTGGAGATGTACTAAGCTGGAGTTGACTCTCAAGAACAAACTGACTCCGTAATGTGCTCCCTGGTGAAGGAGGAATCTAGGACATCTCCCCTTCCATCAGGGGCTGCCAGTGTGGTGTGGGGCACAGAGGGTGCCCCTTTAAGGTAGGAGGTGAGCGCTTGAGCATGAGGCTGGCGTGGTTTTAGAGTAAGCCTACACTTTTGGCTGTGTCTTTGTTTTGCTCCAGACTCAACAGGTCACCATGAGCTGGTGGGAAACAGTCACCACTGTTGTCACTCGGCGCTGATGGCAGCTACCTTTGCTTGGATGGAAGTGCTGTTCCTGACACATGTTAAATGTGGCACTAAAGGTTGGCTGGCTGCTCCAGAGGCCAGGTCTGGCTCTGCTGGGACACAGTGATTCTGCTTACCAACTGGTAAGTTCTAGATGGGGATTCTTGGCATCCTTTATCCTCCATTGGAAGGAATTTTAAATACATTCACTTGCTTGTATATCAAGGCAGAACAGAATCTTCTACGGTGGCATTTAGGTGGGCAGGAATCCAGGGTTTTCTTCTGTGATCCTTTTCTGTGCATTGCGGTTTAATTAGCAGTGATTGGCTTCTTTGTCGCCTTTAAAATTTTTTCATACATCAGGGTCAGCAATAAACATTAGGTTCAGTGATGTGCATTATGGTCAGCCATGTGTATCGGGATAGCTATATACCTTAGAACCCATGGTCTTTTCTCTACCCCTTCTTCAGTCAATGGTCTATTACTGCCTACCTGAAGGGTGATGCTCTTCCTTGGTAGAATTTAAGTTCCTGCTACTTTCTCTCCATTGTTTTATAGAATACAAATATGGTTCACTTGCAAGAAAACAGGGACTGTATGTGGCCCAACATTAGGTATTCTTCTCTATTGAAAGGCTTCAAATCTACCTGCCTGAGTATGTAATTAAATAACAAATTCTATGCGATATTCAAGTTTATTCTTTTAAAATCCCCAGAAATGCTTTAAAGCCAGACACTAACAAAGCCCATAAAGAGAAAGGAGAGTTTTATAGTAAACCAGGGGAAAGCATAAAGGAAAAAACATAAAAGCAAAAGTAGGTAAACAGTGTGTTGAAAAGACAGGAAGTTTTCCATAAAAGAAATTAAATTAGAAGAAGGATTCATTTGGGAAAGTCTGACATAGCCTATGAAAAAAATAGAAGCTAAAGAATTAAACTGACAAAAAGTCAATTAAAAAAGAAAACCTGCAAACAACCACAGAGCCTAGGTTGCCTGTGCCCATGCAGAATTGAGTTTCCATGCTCAGGAGGGCTCGCTGGCACTGGAGACCGGCCCAGTACCAAGGCTGCGCTCCCAAGATGACAGATGCCTCCCTGGAAATGTGGCCATTGAAGCCGAGTTGTAAAGGTGAAGGTCTGCAGTGCTTGTCGGATTTACTTGAAATATGTAAGTGCAGCTAGACAAACTGAGAGGGAGGGTGAGCACATTTTTCTTTCCTCATGCCTAGTTCCACCAGACTGAACCTCAGTTCCTTGGCTGAACCTCACAGGATGACTGAGCTGCAGCAGGAGAGCCTAGGGCCTAAGCCTCCCCATTTCCTGTACTTGCAAAGGGGTTTGGCCTCCCCAGGCAGCTGATCACATCTCCATTAGCTGCTGCTCTGGGAGGGAGGCTGTGAGATGGGAATGTGGTGTCACGGTTGCCCGAGAAGAGGGTCTTGATGGCAGGGAGGGCACGAGGCCTCCTGCAGCCCTGTTCCTCCCACTTGGCTTACACCACACTCCTGCTCCCAAGCAAGGGGCTGGTGCCAGTGAGTGGGGCATTGCCTAGGTCATTTTTGGAACATTTTTATTTGCTCCAGTTTGTAAACCTGGGGTGGTGGTGGGAGAAGAGAATGTTATGGGAAGCTGAAAAGGAGTGATGAGAATTAGGGAGGGCTTCCTCTCCGGCTCACGTCCCTGGTCTGTGTGATTCCCAGCTCTGTGGAGTCACAGCTGATGGTGACGAGGATTGGCTGAATCTCTCTTTGTATTTATGGAGGGATTCCCTTTGTTTGGAATTTGTAACATGGGTTTTGATCTATAACTGGAATTTGAGGAGTAAGTCTAAGAACTGACTATATGAATCTGGTGTGTTGCGTAGTATTTGATTTCTAATGTTTGATTTCTTAGTCAGCAAATGCTCCTGACGTACCTACTCTGCTCCCATGCTAAGTGTTGGTGACAGGCAAAGAATAAGACAGGCAACGGCCCAATGCTGGCGGAGTTTCTATTCCCATGGAGAAGGTAACAGTAAAAAAATAAATCAATGTAATACAAATACCAGGTCCTCAGACACCAGCTGTCTGTCAGGCAAGGGAGAGCTGGGGGGCCGGGAGGCCAGGCAGGGTGGGCGAGAGTCCAGACCAAGGGACCAAGAAGCAGTGAGAACCAGCGAGCGGCTGCTGGCCCTGAGTGGAGCTGAAGGTGGGTGGGGTGGGCTGTTCTGGGCATGAGGAGCTCAAGAGGAGGCAAAGCTAGCCATGTCGGCTCTGTTATGAAGTTAGATGTGCAGATGATCAATAATTAAAGCTATAATAAAAATCTTTATGCTACTACCAATATCAGGCAGTGATGGCTGGGGGACAGCTGGGCTTCATGTTTGTGACTTCATGTTTGTGACCTCAGGACAACCCGGCAGGCTTTAGACTCCTCGCTGATTTGGAGGGGCAGAGCTGGGATTCAGCCACAGGCCTGCCTAACCTAAAACCCTCACTCAGGACTCAGCAGGGGGGCGTTGCCTGCAGAGCCACTCCAGTGCTGATGTGTGGTTCTTCCCTTCGGGATTCTGATTCTGTAGGTCCCAGGTGGGGCCCAGGGACAAATGAATTTTTCAGAATCTCCCCAGAATATTCAGTAGCCAGCGAGCAGAACTATAGTTTACCTGCTGTCTTTCAGAAAACTTTAAATAATCAAGCAATCAGATAAGCAGGCAGCTGGACAAAAATGGCCGAACTCTTTAAGTAGCAGAGGAGCCGAGGGCTGGGTCAGACACATTGATACCAGTAATGAGAATCAGGGCCAAGTCCCTAATTCACTGATGTGAGGATTAAACACCTGAGAAACACGAGGCAAGTGCAGAAAGCAAGTTTTATTTAAAGGCTAGAACAGAGATAGACTTCTCCCAAGAGAGGGGCCCAGAGCTGGGTGTCCGAGGAAGTGGGGGTGTCCTGCCGGTATTTAGTACTGATGTTGGAATGGACCACTTCCCTGTAGTAATCTGTGACCACACTCTCCTCTAGAAGGGCCCTTCAGGAGCCAGCCCTACAGGGAGGCTGTGCTTCTTGTTAGATATCAGAAGTTTGGGAAGATGTCTTTTCTCAGTGTAGGAAGAGCTCTCTTGATATTGAGGATATACAATAAAATGAGTGCATTTTCATTTTCTTCAGAAATATTTTGAATAGAATGTTCTCTTAGATGTCGGGGGTGGTGGAGGAATCAGACAAATTGAAAAGAGACACTGACACTCCAAGGGCATGGCAAGGTGGGAGGTGTGCCCGAGGGGGGCAGAGCTGCCCCGGGGAGAGGCAGGGTCAGTGACAGCCGCCAGAGGAGACTGTGGAAGTTGGGATGTAGAAGATGGACCTCACAGACACCCGGCCCCCAGGCTCACAGCTGGACTCCTCATCCTCCCCTCCCACGTCGTCCCCACAGTCCTTGTGACACTCAGTGGTGACTCTGTCCTTCCTGCATCTCAGGCTCTAAACCAGAACTTGTTGTCATTCCTCATTTTCTCTTCTACCCCATTTTCAATCCATCCACAAATTCTATCTGCTGTATCTTCGACCTATGTCTGCAAGAGGCTTAGAAGCAAGAGTTGCCTCGTCCACTTGTGTGGGAAGGTGGATGGGAGTGCACAGCTCCCTGCAGCCCAGCCCTGCACTCCCCCAAGGCTGGCGCGAATGGGAAGAACATAGTGGGGGGTGGGATTCCAGGCAGGAGGATTGCTGGGAATTAGACACAGGGGTCACTGGGGATTGTGATCACAAACCACAGAGAAGTTCAGTAACTTGGGTCCAAGTGCAGGAGGACTCGGGAAGGTTCCCCTGGTTATGGAGTGTGAGTGGCTGGAGAAACAAGCATGGGCAGGGGAGGCCTCTGCAGAGGTCTGGAGGCGAGGCTGACTCCTCAAGGGCCTCTGGTGGGGCAGGAAGGGAAGCAGTTCCACTGTGCGTTTCAGAGGCTCATCAACATGAATAGACAGTTTATTGGCTTTGGAGGTAAGAAAGGAAGACTCGACCATAAGCAATTTTTCACTTTATTTGACATAAAATAAACATACAACAAATACACTGAGATTAAAGTTTTAGACCATTGTGTGTGAGAAGGCAGGGGTGTATCATTAACAGAACTTATTTGGGGAGGAAAATGAGAAGTAGGATTGATTTTGAGGTACATCGGAGGGATACAGGCATGTGGGGGTTGTGGATCGAGTTGCAGATTTAATCACAAGATGCATATCAGCAAGTTTGGACTAAGTAATCTGAAATTTAATAAATGCTTAGACCATCTTGAAAATATACATTATACAAAAGTTCTTTAAATTTCAGGGTTGGGCTGGCAAAGCCATGAGTTCTGTAAATGAAGTAGGAGTTAGATCTACAACCATAGGATCCAAATGGGGTCCTCAAAAGCCTGTTGCAAGTGTGGACAGTTTCAATAAAACAAAGATGAACCCACAGGGAGAGACACCATCAAGGAGCATATGTATCATGTTTGCTGCATGAAAAACGCCTTGTGTAAGGGTTTGTACCATGGTGTTGGCTCTTTGCTACTTTGGGGGTGGAATATATACTACTATTCTGGTCCAAGAGCCTACAAGCCAAAAGAAAATTGCTTTTGTTTAACAAGAGAGCCTAGGCTGGTAATACTCTGGGACCATCCGGTAAATTTAAACACCATGGAGTTATAAGTTATGTGCCGTGATCCAAGGTCACACAAGACTGCCTTATCTGGGTGTGATAGCATACACCTATGATCCCAGGGAGGCAGGAGGATCACAATTTGAAGCCAGCCTCAGCAACTTAGTGAGACCCTGTCTCAGGAAAAAAAAAAAAAATGACTCCCTCTGGTGAAGTACCAGTGAAGATGTCAGTTATACAATGAAGACTCCCGTACGTCCCGCAGTCATGCAAACAATGTGGTGTTGATCGGAGGAAAAGGGAGCCCGGAATTAGACTCACACATACAGAAACTCAAAAACAGCATTACGAACTCAGGGGAGAAAAGGATAAATTCACTATTGTAACTGGAAAAGTTAGATTATTTCTTTCTTTCCCACCAAACACTAAAATAAAGCGGTAAAACTTACAAGGTATTAATCTTCTGGCAAAATAATGACCTCCAAATGTGATACACAAAGCATGAACCTTAAATGAAAATATT